CCTTAACTGAAAGACATCGATGACTGACTGTCTTATCCATGTATGACTTGGACTGTTTGATGGACTCTGATACCTCTATTTCCACGAAAGTAAAAGCCTATTTAGACTGCATTGTCTCTGTATGCTAGTTTGTGTGTTCTCCAACACAACTCTCACAACACTTTGCTGAACGCACTTGCTCTTCCAATAATTATTATTACAATAATAGTAAAATATAACATCTCATGTTTTCAGGGTTTTTTTTTCTTTTAGATTGCTTTGTTTAAATAATTTAACTAAAATTTGTCAATCATTTTTTTAAAAAAATATTGTTTTTATTTTACCTCTATGACAAACATAGATAAAAAAGCTCTTTGGACATAATGTAAGACAGGGGTGTCAATTTCACAGCCTGCAGGCCAGATGCATCACGTGCTGGTCACCCTCAGCCCCTTTAAGTGGGAAAAAGAGGGGGAAAGTTGATCACGTGATGACAATGTGATTTTGACACCCCTGATGTAGGACATCATGACTGGAGGTCTGAATTTAGTACATCTGTTTCATATTCCACAAAAAATATTTCTTCTTTAACCACTGTTATTTTACCGAGTAATTTCAGAATAAACATTTTCTGACAGATTATTGGATTGGAACGTGCCATTATTTGTTTTATTTTTTTCCCCCTAAGATTAGCCCTAAGCCTAAGATTTGTTTTTCTTTTTGGTCACCCAAAAAGAATATTTGGAAAAATAATAAGTACAAAATAGTTGATTTCATGAAAGTAAATCTGTTTGTTTGTTTTCTTTTGAGGGAAAGAAATCTTGTTTTGAAAAAAATATTCCTCTTTTATATATTACTTAAGGTTTTGATGGTTCTACTGTAAAACACTTGCAGGGTTATAAGATGAGGGAATGATGGGGATGGTTGGGTAGAGAACCAACATTTTGGTAGGGCTTATGACAGCTAAGTCATTTCCATCAAGGGAGCAGATAAATAATTCAGATGTGATATTCCCCTTTGTGTTTAATTTTGCATTGTTTTTTTCTTCTGGAAAAAAAATCCTCTTTCCTTCTAAGTCGTGTCATTCCTGGTTGTCATCCCATCTCTCAGACCATCAAAACTATATTAAATGTTGCAAAGCTGTGTGGCAAGAGAACTTTCAAAAGTCAGAACCCATTTGCAGAGCAGCCCTTGTAGAAAATGTATTCTGTTCTCGGCAGAATTTTCCTTCAGTTCTTTCCACTGAGAAGTTTACTGATTTCTCCCAGTGGAATCTGCTGGAATTTATCGGTTCATGGTTGGCAGTCACAGATTAAGGTAAATGTCGATCCGTAATGACCTTCTACATGTTAGTATTGCAGTAAAGCTGGGCTTTTATGTCAAAGATATCGGAGAGGGAGCTATTACACATGACAGGGGTGATCAAGGGACTCCAGACCAAGGCAAGCATTATTAAATATTGACTAGTTCTGTGATTTATGTAGAGCTGGAGGAAAAAAGTGACTTTTTAACCATTATATATTCTTCAGCAACGAAAACCAGCCATTTATCTCCTGCTGGTAATAAAGCACACAGTGCCTGCATATTTTAGTGTAAAGGCTGGGGGGAGGGGGCACATGGGCTTATAAATGAGATGGACTCTTTCCTGATAACATTTCAGTTGGTTAATTGCCAAAAGCAAAACAAGTCCATTGGAAGCAGAGACACGTTTTGACTTGAGAAGCTCCTCTGTTGCTTCAGTCTGTGAGAAAAAGAGGAGGAGGGGGAACCTATTTGAGAAATGGACTTCAGGAGAAACCTTTTCATTTTTTCCGCTCCCGTGATAGAAACTTTGCTCGGCAATGCTAAATAAATAAATAAAAGTCATTTCAATGCAGTGTATCTTACAAGTTCTAAATAGCTATTGTGGCTGACATTTATGCAGGATGTTGGGGGGGTAGTTAATTTTTATGCAAGAAAGAAATTACACATTAATTCAGCAAACTTACTTATGACACCATCTCCTCTGTAGATTTACACAGAGCTTACTGAATTGTCTGGTAGTTAATTGGACATTTTCTTGACATTATGAACAACTGTATTTCATCCATTGCTGCACTGTCTGGTGAAAAGGCAACACTAAAATGGTTAAATTGTACTGAAACTTAATTTGTACAAAAAAATATATGTTGAAATAAAAAATACAGCTTTTCCCATTCAGGTTAGCTGCTCCTCGTGGGAATTCAAAGCTGCTAATATAGAAAACTAAATGATAAAGCAAGCTTCAGACATTAGACTTAAAAGTTAAGAGTGAACAGATTACAGAAAATTATATAACATAGTGACAGGCTGTTGTAGTTTATGTTTAAGACTTGCGTTGAAAAGTTTCAGGAGTTTTGATCTGGCATTCAGAAAAAAATTGTTTAGAGACTGAATTAGCAATGCAATCACTTAAACAACTGATCCTTCCAGAAAGGTTGTATTCATTTCCAATCTTGGTCAATCAATGGGACCAGAAGTTTTGTCATCCGAACTTTCGACTTGTGCAGGAGCCTATCTTCAGAGAAAGCCTCTCTAGCCAAAGTCTGAAAGCTCTGAAAGAAGACAAAACATCTGAATGACCCAGATTGGATCCTGAATATTATCCCGGGACATGTATATTCACCTACATTCATTTCCTATAAAATTAAAAGGTTACCTTCTGACATTTACACATGTGTATACATACATATATATGAATAATAAAAATAGCAAAAGCAAAGTGCCCAAGTTTTTTTAAAACATATTTTCCTTGAGCTTTAGTTATAGCTAACTATTCAAAGCAACATTAAATGAATGAACAAAACTAAGCAATCATTATCATGTTACCTGGTGGAAAGAGCTGTTAATTTTGAGATAGTGATGCAATCTTGTTTCATGTAATTTCACAGTATGTTCATTCTTTGAACATGGCAAAGATTTTTGTAGCAGTGAAGAACAAGCATAACAGAATAATAGAACAGAATAACAGAATAACAGAGTTGGAAGGGACCTTGGAAGTCTTCTAGTGCAACCCCCTGCTTGAGGAGGAGACCCTATACCATTTCAGACAAATGGTTGCCCAGGTTTTTTTTTTTAAAAAAAAGCCTCCAGTGGTGGAGCATTCACAACTTCTGAAAACAAGCTGTTCCATTGGTTGGCTGCTCTCACTGTTAGGAAATTTTTCTCTCAATAGTTGCTTCTCTCCTTGCTTAGTTTTCAACCATTGTTTCTTTCTTTGCCTTTTGGAGCTATGGAAAATAGTTTGACCAAGCAATAAGCAATAGT